AGTATAATATTCTGCATTTGATCATAGCTAATGCACTTTATCTCTTAACTTTATTTTGGTAATCAGAAGCTGATGTTGAGATAACTCATAGATAGCTACATAGTGGTGCATACCGGTTCACGGGACTTGGATCCGGACTTAAAGAATGTTTAGGTTCAAGTCCAAAAAAACCTAAAAGTCAAGAACCGAGTCTGGACTTATTACCATAAAAGACCATTTCACATACCCCTTTTCTTTCCAAACCACCTAAAACCTTCCGTAGATTGCAAAATCTTTGCTGCAAAATGAAGAAAACATTGCCATCGGGCATCGTCAAGTACCGGCCTCCATGTTATGTGGCCAAAGTTTCACCCAGACAACATTGTAAGGTTGCTAATATGCAATTTTGTATATGCCATGGGTTTAGGTCCAGACTTACAAGTCCGGAACTGAACCTAAACCCCTGGACTTGAATCCGGACCTGAACCTAAATGTGGGTTTAGATACACAGCACTATGTGTGTGTGTCCCTTTATCTTAAATCTCCCCCTTTATATCTCTTTAAAGTGCTCATGACACAAAAATATGACTTTAGCTGGTTGTATTTTACATACGTAACTAGTTGTTGGCATCCTTTCGTCTCTTGAGACGATGGAGTATGCGCCGTGGTTCAGGATGTCTTCATGCATCGCCTGTTGTGGCTGTAGAGGCCGATCCTGGAACGGCATACTTTGCCGCAGTTGACACAGGTGAAATCGTCTGGTTGTGTGCAGGTTTGCGGCCTAGGTTTACGTAACTAGTATTCCCTGGCTATAAGAAGGCCATACAAGCTCAATTTCGCAGTCATCATGATTGGAACAAACTTCCAGTGACTATATTGTATGTACACTTCCGATATTTGTATGTATTTTACAGACTTATTTTGGTGTCATGAGCACTTTACTTGACATTGTAGGTCGTAAAAAGGAATGTCATGATTTTAGGATTAAAATTTTCCTTGTTTCGATTCCGCAGCGTCCTTCACGTTCATCTCGCGCCGTCACCGTGGTTACCCGTTCAGCCTGACGTTCTACCTGAACGGCCTGCAGGACATCCGGCTCAGCGCCTGCTGCGAGTACAAGCACAAGAAGGGCCGCAAACTGGGCAGCAAGCTCGGCCACTTCGAACTGGTCAACATCACAGGGGCTGCTCCATGCTACAGGTTAGTTCATCCTTAGCATTATGAAGCAGTTTAAACTGTGATTTCCAACACAAAAGTCTTCAGCATTGCAAAGCAGTTTAAACTGTGATTTCCAACACAAGAAGGGCTGCAAACTGGGCAGCAAGCTCGGACACTTCGAACTGGTCAACATCACCGGGGCTGCACCATGCTACAGGTCAGGACAGTATTTTTATGTTTACTGAAGGAAAACATATTGTTTTTCCTCTTCTTCCTCAAACCAAAAAAGCCAATGACCTGAACCAGACAGTCTATGCATGACCATGCATGGTAAAACTGGTGTTGGGTTACATCATGTTGCCATTTTGTAGCAGGAGGGATTTAGACTCCTGTATGAATGTGTTTGAGTAAGAATTAACAGAGCAAACCTATGCAAAGGTAAACATTATGCATTTACTTTGTAAATGTTACCTGTCTAGTTTTTTTATGAATCATTCTTAGTTTCTATTAATTTTCACAGACACAAAATAAACACAGAAAAACAAATACTGGAAAGACATGGAGACAAGTGAAGTAAGCAAGAATGTAGCACCAGAAGTAAAACTAGTTAGTAGTCAAGTTAATCGCCTTCACTTTCCTTTAACAGTTACTACACAATATCTCATGTTATGGTCTTAACCAGAATAAACCACAGAGTTTGATCTTAAAGCATCAGAGAAGTGTTTTAATAAGAACTTTGCTGCTCCATTGGTGGGCTGTTGCTCAGAGCGGTGACTGTGGTAAATTTCCTCGAGCCAATTTTCATAATCAAAATATCAATTAAAAAAAAGTTATTAGTTTTAGATAGATACTTCTTCAACAGAACTACATATCAATATTATAGTTAGTCACTGAAGAAAAGTAGTGGATACTTCTTAAAACGATTAATACTGAGTTTTCAAAATCTAGTTAGTTGCTTGAATAACTTCTAGTATTTTCTTGTATAGTCATGCTTGTCCTCAAGTTGCGACGGAGGTCGATGTCTTGGATTGTAGCTGCTTCAATACTTCAAAAGAATTACATATTTTGTTAGTTAGTCACTGAAGAAAAGTAGTGGAAACTACTTAAAGCGATTAATACTGAGTTTTCAAAATCTTATTTAGTTGCTTGAATAACTTCTAGTATTTTCTTGTATAGTCATGCTTGTCCTCAAATTGAAACAGAGGCTGTTGTCTTGGACTGTAGCAGCTTCAATACTTCAAAAGAACTACATATTTTGTTAGTTAGTCACTGAAGAAAAGTAGTGGATGCTACTTAAAACGATTAGTACTGAGTTTTCAAAATCTATTTAGTTGCTTGAATAACTTCTAGTAATTTTTTGTATAGTCATGCTTGTCCTCAAGTTGCGACGGAGGTTGTTGTCTTGGACTGTAGGTGCTTGTTGGCAGCGGGTTCTGTCCTAACCTTGCTGAAACAAACCTCGCTTGCAGTACAAGTAGAAGAGATACACTTTCTTTTTCCGGTACAGTCCTCTGGAACTCACTTCCTCCACACGTCAGAAATGCAAAACTCTCTGTGTCTTTAAGACCACCTTTTCATCACTTTGTAGTTAATATGATTTCTTTGTTGTTAATTTTGCATTTTGATTATAATCATTGATATGCAAATTAAGTATCATTATCAATATCAATATTTGTCATATTTATTTAGTTTGTTTTCTAAACGTTATTAGTTTGTTCTGTTTCTTTTATTATTATGGCGATTATGATTGTACCTAAGTTAGTCTATACTTTTTCTGTTATTTATGTATTGTTCTGTGCAGGAAGCGTTGAAAACCGCCATTGGCGATATGCTGCCGCCCTTGCATAGATATTAAATAAAAATGAAAAATGAAAATCCTACTACAAAAATCGTCCGACAAATGTGACCATGTCAGTCTGCGTGAATGAGAAACCCGGAAAACGTCAGGAACCTGTTGTAGTTGCTGTGCAGAGTGTCTGCGCCCTTGTCCATCTCCACCCAAACCTCGTCCCGGGGAAGTAGGCGCAGGATTGCGCTGTTACTACCGGACTGGTTCTGGCTTATCCCCCTGTTGTTCTCGTATAGGCCAACCATCTTCTCCCCATTCTTCATCAGGCGGAGAGAATAGTGGCTGTTGGCTGGACTTTGTGTCATCCCGGTAAACGTGAAGAAGTAGACGCCTCCAACCGTCGCCACAAACTTGCCCGTCCCCTCGTTGTACGCCGCTCCCTCGTTGCTAAGGATGACGTCATACGTCAGTACCGTGTCGGACGACGACCGGTCAAGGCTGGTCGTTCGCGCCACGGAAAACGCCACTAGGTGTGGGGCAGGTGGGCTGGTGCCAGGTGCTCCCTTCTCACCTGCCGGTCCCCGTTCACCCTTGTCTCCCCGCTCCCCCCTTGGTCCGACCGGGCCCAGCTTGCCTGGCGCGCCTCTCACACCTGCCTCCCCTGGTGTACCGGCGGGACCTGCGAACGTACAAACTGGTAAATCGATGGAACACTCCTTGCCTTACAGATACAGGGGAGGTTCCCATGCATGGTAAGGATACCAGGCCATGGTTGCTGTAGTTGTCATTTTCATACCTTTCGGCCCCATGTCCCCTTTTGGTCCAACGGGCCCGGGCGCTGCCACAACCGTGATGTTCTGGTTGTTGTTGAGCTGTCGGGAACAGAGTCCCTCTTCATTTTTCTCTTCCACCGCTGATGATACGCCGT